CAGCCTGCTGGCCAGCAAGGGCACGGAGCCTCACCCCACACCGGTCTTTCCCCCGGGTCCCTACGCTACACCTCCGGGGTACGGGGCGGCCTTCAGCACCGCTCCCATAGGGGCTCTGGCCGCCGGAGGCGCCAATTACAGCCAGATGCCTGCAGGGTCCTTCATCACAGCCGCCACCAAGGGCCCTCCAGTGCTGGTGAAGAAGGAGAAGGAAATGGTAGGGGCATTAGTGTCAGACGGGCTGGATCCGAAGGAGCCCCGAGCCGGGGAGGTGATCTGTATAGACGACTGACTATACAGGCCTGCCCTTCACCCAGGCCCCGTGCCCGAGGCCGACCCCCAGCTCAGACTCTGGGGTCTGCTGCCAATCCTCCGCCTTCCCCACCCGCTGGGCCACCACTGGGCTAGGAGCCCCTTTGCCCCTCTCTCTGACTCCTCTTTTCAAGAAGGGCCCTTTGTCTGTCTCCACTCCCACACATCTTTCCCACCATGCTTTGAAGACTGTGCTGGTGAGAAGAGGTCTGGGTGGGAATTGGTTAGCAGGGTCTTCCAAGAACCTTTATCCTCCACTGCCAAACATACACAGCTTCCCAATAAATGGTTGTGGGAGGTAAGAGGTGGAGCCTTTATTCCTGCAGGGTGAGCTCCATCTTGTGCAGAGGTGGGGGGTTAGCACTGCCTGGCCTTTAGAAACTTCCGGTGGAGGAAAGGAGCTTTGAAGAGAGGAAGGGAACTTTAGATAAGGATGACCATGAGCCCTGGCAGAGCGAAAGGGAAGAGGAGGGTTGGCTGCATGTTTCCTTCCCTTACCTCTCCTGAAATAGAGTGTGGAGCAGTTAAAGGGAGTCAATTGCTGCTCCGCCTCAGAATAAAGACGCCATTCACTGGCTCAGTTACCTCCTGTGTACTGGCATCTTGTGTTGGGCATCTTACCCCCTCCACAGGGGCCAAGAACCACCCCTACAAAGAGAGTAATGGTTGGGCGATACCCCCTCAAGCCAAAGAGGAGCTCCCCAATCTGACCTAGGGACCCAGGTGACCTAGAAAGGGTGGGAGAGAACACAATGGTCCAGATGCTGGGGGAACCCCCAGCTCTGGGGCTCAGGTTCTTTGAGGACTTCTCCCCTTTCTTCTGAAGGCCTGAATACAGACTAAATTTGAGTGTGTGAGGCAGGGGGCCTAGTCAGGAGGCTACTTGCTTTGAGGACCAGAGAAAAATAATGGATAGCAGGCTAGGGAGACACGGGCATGCACACCCTCTTCCCCAGGAGGGGCTGAGGAGAGTGGCAGTTTGCATGCCGAACCCTCCACTTCCTCTTCGCTGCCCCTTCCCTTTCTTGCTGGCCATTCCCCAGTCTCTCTTCACACTCACTCCTGGTCTGTCCCAATCCCCTCTTCTGTATCAGGTTTATTGGTTGTACATATAAATTATACTTTCCTTTCAAAAAAAAAAGACTCCATCAAAAACTGTTAGACTTAATAAATGAATTCGGCAATGTAGCAGGATACAAAATTAATGCCAAGAAATCCATGGCATTTCTTTACACCATTAGTGAACTTACAGAAAGTGAGACTAAAAAAGCAATCCCACTTACCATCAAACAAAAAAAAATTAAGATACCTAGGAATAAACTTAATGAAGGAGGTAAAAGACTTATATGCAAAAAACTACAGGACACTGAAAAATGAGATAGAGGAAGACATAAACAGATGGAAGAACATACCATGTTCATGGATTGGTAGAATCAACATAATCAAAATATCCATATTACCCAAAGCAATCTATAGATTCAATGCAATCCCCATTAAATTACCAATGGCATATTTCACAGATCTAGAATGAACTCTCCAAAAATTCATCTGGAATAAAGAACAGGCCTCGAATAGCTGCAGCAATCCTGAGAAAGAAGAACAAAGTTGGTGGGATCTCAATACCAGATATCAAACTGTATTACAAAGCCACTGTACTTAAAACAGCTTGGTACTGGCACAAGAACAGACATATAGATCAATGGAATAGAATAGAGAACCCAGAAATCAACCCAAACCACTATGCTCAATTAATATTCGACAAAGGAGGCAAGAGCATACAATGTAGTCGAGACAATCTCTTCAATAAATGGTGTTGGAAAAATTGGACAGATACATGCAAAAAGATGAACCTAGACCACCAACTCACACCATACACAAAAATACACTCAATATGGATAAAAGACTGAAACATAAGACGGGAAACCATAAATATACTAGAGGAATCCACAGGCAGCGAAATCACAAACATATGCCTAAGGAATCTCTTCTCTGATAATGCTCCTAGGGCAATGGAAACTAAAGAGAAAATAAACAAATGGGACTACATCAAAATAAAAAGCTTTTGCACAGCAAAGGTAACCATCAACAAAACAACAAGAAAGCCCACTACATGGGAGAACATATTTGCCAATGATATCACCGATAAGGGTTTAATCTCCAACATATTTACAGGGAACTCATGCAACTTAACAATAGGAAGATAAACAATCCAATCAAAAAATGGGCAAGGGACCTAAATAGACACTTTTCAAAAGAGGACATACAGAAGGCCAAAAAACATATGAAAACATGCTCAAAGTCACTAATTATATGAGAGATGCAAATCAAAATGACAATGGGGTATCATCTCACACCTGTCAGAATGGCTATCATCAACAAATCAACAAACAACAAGTGTTGGAGAGGATGTGGAGAAAAAGGAACCCTTCTGTACTGCTGGAGGGAATGCAGACTGGTGCAACCACTGTGGAAGACAGTATGGAGTTTCCTCAAAAAACAAAAAATGGAACTCCCATTTGACCCTGTGATCCCACTTCTAGGAATATATCCCAAGAAACCAGAAACACCAATCAGAAAGGATATATGCACCCCTGTGTTCATAGCAGCACAATTCACCATAGCTAAGATTTGGAAACAGCCTAAGTACCCATCAGCAGACGAGTGGATTAGAAAACTGTGGTACATCTACACAATGGAATACTATGCTGCTGTAAAAAAGAAGGAACTCTTGCCTTTTGCAACAGCCTGGATGGAACTGGAGAGCATTATGCTAAGTGAAATAAGCCAGTAAAGAAAGATAAATACCACATGATCTCACTCATTTGTGGAATATAGAGAACAACATAGACTGATGAACAGGGACAGATCCAAAGACAGGGAAACAGCAATCAGACTATCAATCCCCAGAGGGTAAGTAGGAGAGGGTGGAGGTAATGGGAAGAGATCAACCAAAGGACTTGTATGAATGCATATAAGCCAAACCAATGTACATGGGCAACAGGGGGATGAGAACATGAGTGGGGGGTTGGGGATTAATGGGGGGATAAGGACACATTTGTAATACCTTAACTAATAAAGAATTTTTTTAAAAAAGTGTCAACCAAATTCACAATCAACAATGACAGATGGAGACACACACATGCAATTGGTGCCAGGAGAGCTTTATATGTATTGCATGTGCATGAGTTAACTCAGCCTTTTATAGATATAGAATAAACTTGCTTAATTAGACATGCTTTCTGATTTTCCTAAACTTTTTCCTGCCCAGTGAAGCATCCCAACTTCTTTTTCAGGTAATTGTCAGCAACATAGCAGTAAATATCAACACAAAGCAGATTATTATTGTAGATCACACAGGGAGAACAATGGGTAAAATATTTAACTGCAGCAGTGTTTGACTATATTCTGCATAGTGAGAAAACCTAAGTCATTTTCAAGGTCCACCATTTCTTACTTCTTTTCAGTCAGGTCAAGTTTCTAAGCTTTCTAAATCTCCATTTTCTGGGTAATGAAAAGAAAATAGGATTCCACTGGGTTTCCTATCTACCTACTCTAGGACTTCTGTGAGGATCAAATGAGATGAGGCACAGGAAAAAGCTTCACAAACATTTGGTGACAGTGTAAAATTTTTCCACCCGGCTATAAAGCAAGCCATGTTACTGGGCTGAAGAAACTCCAAGGAGGCTAGTAGGTAGGGAGAGGAAGCCAAGCATTGCTATTTGATGTCATTACCCAGACGGATACTTAGCATATTAGCATTTTATATATATGGATGGTTTAATATTCACCAAGAGTTTTTAAAAAGACATGCTATGTGAGTCACAGCCATAAGATTTAGGGCAAGTAGCATTATGGATCTGGGCCCACTAGATTTCTAACCGTTTGTGAAGAGAGACTCTTAAAGAATTTCTCCTTCAAAGCTACCACCTCTGTGGGGGGTATGTGTGTGTGTGTGTGTGTGTGTGTGTGTGTGTGTGTGTCCATGGCAGGGGAGGAGATGAAGCAGTGAGATCCCCTAATGAGTGGAAAAAAATGCATAATACATCACCTCAGCTTTCTTGCTTTCCTCATAGGTTTCCACAGAGCAGGTAGGTTGGTGATGCTTGGTCTGGAGGTGTATCAGGTAAGGCTTTGGAATCTACTGCTGGTCCTAATTGTGGGAATAGTGGGTCATGGACTAGATGCTCCTCAAAGGCAACTCTTTCATTTCATTTACTTTTGCTGCCTCAGGACCTAGAAGGTCATACTGTGCCTGGTGCATGTTTGTGCTGACTCACAGTAGAATGGATGACTAAATGAGGCCTCAGCTCTGAAATTTAGTAATCCCATAAAGAACAAATACAGAAAAATAATTATTGAAAATGGCACTTTTACCTTTTCTTCATTAGTTATCAACAGCTTTTTCATTTGTTATAAACAGATTAAATTTCTAGGATATGCTCTTAATTTTTTCTGAGGGCACTTTTCTTTTTGTTTTTGTTTTTGTTTTTCTTATCTGAGGGCATTTTTCTACTCATAATTGACACTCTAAATTCTGTGGAGTATATCAATGTTGTTGTGGTAGTGGGAAGGCAGGAAAGCTGACAGTAAAATTATGAAGAATTGCCTGGATTATTATGAGAAATCACTTTCCTTTTTGTTTCTGACAACCCGAGTGCAACTGCTTTATCATCTGTTGTCATTCTTACCTTGGCAACTTGGATGGCAGACCCATAGCCAGTTGTGAATCCACAGCCAATCAGACAGACTTTCTCTAGTGGTGCAGCTGCATCAATTTTGACCACTGAGATCTCGTCCACCACTGTGTACTGGGTGAAGGTGCTGGTGCTAAGGAAGTGGTTGATGGACTTCCCTTTGCAGGTGAACCTGGTGGTACCATCCTGCAAGGTCCCACGAGGCATGCTCAGACTAGCCAGTGCAACACACAGACAAACAAGGGCATGAGACACATGCATAACAGTGTGCAAATTCATTGGCTGTGTCAGGAGAGTAATGGAAACTTACTCATTTTTCACACAGAAGTTGCTTCCTGGATGTTTACAAACTTTGCATTTTCCACACTGGGGAGTAAAGAGTGGGATGACTTTATCACCTGGAGGGGGGAAAAGCAAATTCTTATTAAATTTCTACCCAGGAATTAATAGAGCAAGCACTCAAAGCTTATGGGTATGTATTAGAGGCAGTTGCCTTTCAATAGTCTCTCAGAAACAGGATGCAGTCACCATGATGTCATTAGACATTGCTGGCAGCATTGTTATTGGTTTGGGTTTGTATGTGCCTGAAGATTGCCAAAGAGGACATGTGACTGTGGGAACAACCATGGATTTTAAAGTATTTCCACTGCATTAATAGTTATCTTTTCCTCCATGCCCTTTCTCTAGATAGTTTTATACACATTTTATTTAACCCTTAAGAATTAAGTCTTAAATGTTCTTAGTGTAAGTATATTTATAAATTTTAGTTATGAGAGGCTGCCATAGTTTCACTAGATGTTGAGGAAAGCCAGTATTTTCTAATAGTTTCAGTTACAATAAAAATGAGAATTTTGACAACCATTCTTGGCTTTTCAAAGTGACTGTTTATTTTTACTATAAAATGATTTTCTATTTTTTATATTTTAGGGTTTTTTCCCCCAAAGAAAACGTAACAAAAATGTGAGAAAAAAGAATTAAAGAAATTCCTTTAAAAATCTCAACCCTCAATGAGTTAGGCACTTTCTTTTAGGATGAGAATTCATTTTTAAATGTTTTTAGCTGATAACTTAATTTGTGAATTATTTATTTTGCCTGCTATGTTGGAGGGAACCAGCGTGAAAAGTAAAAGTGTTATTTATTGTTAATTTATTTCTAAGTAAAGGAAATACTAAGAGCTGAAACTCAAACCAGACCATATATTTTAATATTTTCTGTCAGCAAGTTTAAAAAGTATTTGGTAATGGGGCAGGTCAAATCTACTGGCTAAAGTTATTTTTTTTTTAAATTAAACATTATTTTTGTTTTCAACTAGTTCTCCTACATATCCACAAAACCCACAAAAATGGTTAGACCATAATATTTAATAGATAAACTTTATATGGAGATAATAGCATGAACATTTTATATTTATTCACTCTTTACCTCTAAGAATACTTATCTATATTAATGCACAATAAAATTAAGACAAAATAAGTGTTAAGGATAAACTAGTACCCTGTAACCAGTCACAGTTAGCCATGGTTTAATGTAGTAAATCAGATATTGTTTATTGCAGGGGCCTTCTGCCAGGTCTCTCCTTTTCTTCTAAATAGCTTGTTTCATTCATTCTGTGCTCAAGGAGGGAGGCCATAGTGGAAGGGAAAACCAGTGAATGGGTTCCACTTCCCACCTAAGAGGAGATCATGTTGATTCAGTCAGAGCCTCTGGCTCCCCACCCTGGGAAGTCAGCACTGAACAGTTCCCATGCACAGACCTATAGGCTCAGGACACAGACTTAGATGTTTTTCCTGTGTCCTGAGAGAAAACAGTGCTTAGCAACACTGAAATGGAAGTTATTTGATTATGACCTCAGGGAGTGGGTCCCTTTTGATCCTCATGTATCCCAGGATCTAACCTGGTGCCTGACATATAGCAGGTGCTCAACAAATTCCTGCTGAAGGAGAGAACACAGGAGTGCATGAATGCATACATGTCTGAGGCAGGAAGGGGGCAGAAAAGGAGTAGACCTCTGTTCAAGCCCTAGCTGTGCTGCTGCCCTCGGCAAGGTCTTGCATCTCTCATTGCTTCAGTTTCATCACCCAAGCTGGGCGTTCTTGGAGTCCTGAACAGTACCTTCTCCAAGTAGGAGTTCTATACCTGGCTTTACTGCAGTCACTCCTTCTCCAATGCTTTCCACAATGCCGGCTCCCTCATGGCCTGGGATCATAGGAAAAGGTGTGGCGAAGTTTCCATTAACCACGTGGTCATCTGACCGACAGACCCCTGAGGCCACCATCTACAGGGTAAAGGGAAGATAATTAGGTTCAGCAAAACTGTGGCCCTCAGATGGACCTCACATGCCCAGCTTTCTAAAGTTGGACTTTTGAAGTTTTCAAGGATTTTGCTAATAATCTCTATTTCCCCCAAATACACAAGATCCCGTTTCTCTCCAAGATTACTCAGTTTATGCATGCATACAAGTCCTTTGGGGGCGGGCAGGGAGAGATCAAGGGGAGTGGGGGAGGAAGAGACTTATGTAAGACTTTAAACAATAAAGAATTTAAATTAAAAAATAAGTAAATAAAAATAAAAGTTTATGAGTGAAAAAAAAGATTACTCAGTTTAAAACCCTCCCTGCCTTAAGCAATTCAGAATAATCTGTGAAATAAGTTTCTCAAATAACTGTCTTATGTAATAGACAAGAATGCATGCTTTTTCCTAGAAGTAGAAACTATAGATTAGCAACCAAGAAAATTAAGTCAGTTAAGCTCCACCATTTAATGCTAATTGATTTTGAAATCTTGCACTTTTTTTCTGTATAAACACATCAATACTTTTTAATTTCATTAGTGTGAAAGAATTTCAATCTACAATAGAACTGGAGGATATAAAAAGGAAAATCTAATGTATGTGTCATCAGGAAAGACACATAAGGACTGAGAAATCGTTTTCCTGTAAATGCCTGATTTACAGAACACTGATAATATTGGAATTTTCCTAAATAAAAATTGGTCAGGAGTTGCCTCATAACAACCTTGAGAAATTTTGAACTAAAATAACTCTGGTGGGATTCATCTCACATTTTAAGCTGAATTGAGCTTTGTTTGTATGACTGGATTTGCTTTTGTTTCAATGATGAAAAATTGTTTAATGAAATAAAAACAAAAGAATACATGGCTGCTATATTATTATCAGATTAAGCAGAATTCAAGGCCCAAACTAATTAAATGAGACAAAAAGAGTATTATATAATAATAAAAGATACTCTCATAAAAAATATATACATTTTAACAGACTATAACTGAACTCTTCCCTCTTTAAATTTCCTGCCTGTAAGTATAGCCTACCCCAAACTCTCAAAGGACTGCCCTATAGCTTTCTACAATTTGCATGTTCCAAATTACAACTACTGTTATTCGTTTTTGCTTTGTTTTGTTTTTAAATTCTTTATTGTTGAAAGTATTACATATGTCTCCTTCCCTCCCCACCCCCCCATTGACCTCTCCTTGGCCACTCCTATCCCCTAGCACATGCCCTCTCCCCTCTACTGTCTATGTCCATTGATTATGCCTAAATGCATGCAACAAATCTTCGGTTGATCTCTTAACACCCCCCTCCCCTTCGTACCCTCTGAGGTATGACAATCAGTTTGATGCTTCTATGTCTCTGGTTCTATTTTTGTTCATCAGTTTATGTTGTTCATTGTATTCCACAAATGGGTGAGATCATGTGATATTAATCTTTCTCTGACTGGCTTATTTCACTTAGCATAATGCTCTCCAGTTCCATCCAGGCTGTTGCAAATGGCAAGAGTTCCTTCTTTTTTACAGTAGCGTAGTATTCCATTGTGTAGATGTACAACTGGTCTTTAATCCACTCATCTGCTGATGGACACTTAGGCTGTTTCCAAATCTTAGCTATGGTAAATTGTGCTGCTATGAACATAGGGGTGCATATATCCTTTCTGATTGGTGTTTCTAGTTTCTAGGGATATACTCCTAGAAGTAGGATCACTGGGTCAAATGGGAGTTCCATTTTTAGTTTTTTGAGGAAACTCCATACTGTCTTCCATAGTGGCTGCACCAGTCTGCATTCCCACCAGCAGTGCAGAAGAGTTCCTTTTACTCCAAATCCTGGCCAGCACTTTTCACTTTTTGACTTGATGATGATAGCCATTCTGACAGGTGTGAGATGGTATCTCATTGTTGTTTTGACTTGCATCTCTCAGATGATTAGTGACTTTGAGCATGTTTTCATATGTCTCTTGGCTTTCTGTATGTCTTCTTAAAAAGTGTCTATTTAGGTCCTTTGCCAATTTTTTATTGGATTGTTTATCTTCTTTTTGTTAAGTTGTATGAGTTCCCCATAAATTTTGGAGATTAAACCCTTACCGGAGATAACATTGGCAGATAAGTTCTCCCATGCAGTGGGCTTTCTTTTTGTTTTGTTGATGGTTTCTTTTGCTGTGCAGAAGCTTTTCATTTAGATGTAGTCCCATCTGTTTACTTTCTCCTTAGTTTTCATTGTCTTTGGATGAACTTTGTCTGCTGAGCAAACACTGGGTTATTTCTTCTCCCTTAAGTCTAAGCCCAAATTCCTACTCCTCTCTGCTGTGGTTTCAGTCTGGCAACCCTACCATTTACTTTCTTTCTGTTTTCCTAGCCCTCTGGGGATTAACGTTCTTGATCTTGTGAGTGTCCTCAACATGCCCTTTGTAAACTTTCAGCCTTCAAGCAATTCTATAACCAATTTTCTGTATTAAATCCACTTTGAAACACAGAGTTTTCCATTTTCCTAACTGGACATATTGATATAGTTCTTGGAACCAGGAGTGGTACCGAAAGTAGACCTTCAAGTAAACAAAAGATTGAGTTAATGTATTTTTAGTGATCATAATTTGCTGAAATAGAAAGCACTGAAATGAAAATGTTGAAGGGACTTACGAAGAAAGGAAAAGATTCAGAATGGTCAACAAAGAAGAAGCAAATAGAGAGACTAGTTGCTCTTTTCCATCATAGATTTGACACAGGACACCTGCTAGGGTTTGCATACCCTCCCTGTGCCCTTCCTTAGTACAAGTTTTCCAGAGCACCTCCACCAGTTTGAAATAGAGGGTTTTTTTTTACTCCTTACATGATTTAGTCACTGAAAATGTCCTGCTCAGCCACATATATACCTTTTGCACAATGCTATAAAATTTGTTTTTAAAATTTCATTCAGTTTTAATTTTTGAATCCTAGAATGTAATCAACTCTTTTGTTGTCTTCACATTTTTCCAGGTTTGATTTTTAATTTTCATGTTTTCCAAAATTATACATGCATATATACATGTGCAGATTTCTTCCTATAAAGTCTCTTAAGAAAAACAGCAGTCTGTGCTTTCTCCCTTCTCCTTCACGTATTCCTCTCTAGAAGCCACTGCTTTCAAATTCTGCAACTTATTTTGCTTAATCTCCATATCTCTATGTAGGATGCATATGTTCTTAACCTGGTTTTTCTTTGGGCATTTTTGTTGACTTCCCATTTGGGAAGATGAAAAATTGGAGTGGCCATTACCACAAAAAGACCCTACTTCTCCCCTGTTTCCCAATAGAATAATAGAATAATTTATATTATTACTAGAGGCCCGGTGCACAAATTCGTGCACCAATGGGGTCCCTTGGCCTGGCTCTCCAACATCCTCCAAGGGGTCTCAGATTGCGAGAGGGCGCAGGCCATCCGGTCCCCCAGTGCACAATCGGGGCCAGGGAGGGACCGTGGGAGGACTCCAGGCTCATCTTGCTTAGTCCTGATCGGCCAGACCGAAACAGCAAGCTAACCATACCAGTTGGAGCGTCTGCCCCCTGGTGGTCAGTGCAAGTCTGCCCCCTGGTGGTCAGTGCAAGTCATAGTGAGTGGTTGAGGGGCCTTAGCATATTATTAGCTTATTATGCTTTGATTGGTTGAACGGCCAACCGGACCGTTAGGCTTTTATTATATAGGATGGCTATATAAGTGCTACTTACAAATGAGCCATGTAGTTTGCAATGCTTTTATTTCTCTTTACCTTGGTGTTGTCTTTATACTTACAATAAATTCAATTCCCATAATTCAATTGCCAGTTGTCTAATTCCTCACTCAAGACTTAGAGATGCATTGTGTACCATCAATTTTGCTTTGCAAAGAAATATTTCCGGGAGTCTTTGACTTGCTCCAAATGGCCTGGGTATGCTCAACATCTGGCCCTATTCACTGTGTTGGTTTCCTGTGGCTGCTGTAACAAATTACCCAAAACTGGGTGGCTTAAACAAGAGGTTTATTTCTCCCAGTTTTAGAGGTCAATGGTCTCAAGTCGGTATCGCTGGGCTTAAATCCAGGTGTTGGCTGAGCCATGCTCCCACCAGAAGTTCTAGGAGAGAATCTGTCCTTGCCTTTTCTAGGCTCTGGTGTTGTTGCATTCCCTGGCTGGTGGCCACACACTCCAACCCCCTCCTTCCTCTCTGCTTCTTTTCTTCCTCCTCCTTCTTTATATTGTGTTTGGAAGCTTGTAGAATGTTCTGCTTATCCCTAGTAGTCTGGAATTTTACAATGATTTGTTCTGGTGGGTCTATTTTTATCTATGGTACCCTGTGGCTTTTCTAAAAATGTGAAGATCTGCTTTCTTCAGTTCTAGAAAACTTACTGAAATTGTTGCATTAATGCTCTCCCCTCTCCAACCCTCCCACCCTGCTTTATCTGGTCTTTCATTCTAGAACTCCTACTACTCAGATATTGAGTTTCTTGATTTGGTACTCTCATTTTCTCTCCTCCTGTCCCTTTCTCCTTTATTTCCCTCATTGTGTTTTCACTCCCTCCAGCTTCAACTCCCTTTGATAAGTGAAGGCACAGGTGGCATAGTCAGGGTTTGCAAGCATGGTACAATCCTCTAGAGTCTACAGGGACCTCCAGGGCTAGCACTGGCACTTCCTCTTTAGTTCAGTGACGGGGAAGGAGGTGGGTTGGAATTAAAGCCTATATGTCATGCAATAGTGCACCAGCTCAGAGTGCCCGGCTGGCTTCTATCAACAAAATATTCCTACCAATTAATATTTCTAATGTTAAGAACTTCTAATTTTTATTAGTCTCCCTTTAAACTGTCACCCTGTGAATTCACATATCTTAAATTCATGAGAACCAGGCCCTGATATTTTGTTTACCATGCTAGTCCCCTGACATATTATGAATGATCCTATATAATAAAACCCCAATATGCAAATTGACCGAAAGGCAGAACAGCTGGTTGCTATGATGCGCACTGACCACCAGCGGTCAGACGCT